GTCAGAAATGTTCTGTGATATTTCTGCTGATGATTAATTTCAGTTCTTAAAAGATCCAGAAGCTAACTATACTTATTAGCTTTTCTGGTTCTCTTAGTTTGAAGTGAAATTACAGTAGAAGAAACATTCATAAATAGAATGAAATTGGTTGTTTGGATGTGGTGTTATTGGTTCTCTTAGTTTAACTGCACACACCCAGGTAAAAGATCATCCGCTTGTGATATGATGGTGATACTTTTGTTTTCTATGCTGCATCTTCTGTTTTTGTCTATTGGTACCCTGGAAGCAATTATTTGTTTATATATCTGCCATCTTGTGAGAATACTGATGGTTTTATATTTATCAATTTTCCTCTCATTTGAAATTCTAATATGGCAGGCTGCAGAACTGCTCCGGCACCCACACCTTCAGCCTTATGTTCTGAAGGTTCATCTTAAATTAAATAGCCCTAGACGCAATACTTTACCCGGCCACTGGCCTCAGTCTAATTACATAAGGTCAAGATTTTCATAGCTAGACTATGTTCCTGTGGCCTCTTATCGGACAAAGCGACATTCATTCAGCAATGATAGGAATTTGAATCCAAGTATATCTGGAGCTGAGCAAGATTCTGTCTCTTTTACTAAAGGAATACGTGATACTCCAGGTTATTTGAGTCAAAGGTTATCAGCATTATCTGTTGAAAGCAGCCATGAAGGGACTGTCATCTGTAAGCCAATTGCTTCAAAAATTCCAAGTGTTACCAAGATTCCAAGGCTTACTCCAGCGAAAGCTTCTGTTGGTCATAGGAGACAATCAGAGCCCCTAAAGAAACATGAATTTGTATGATCATACAAAACTTTCTTATGTAAACATATACACACAAAGATCTCTCCATTTCCTAGAGTAATTTTTGTTAGTTTCATAGTTATGAGTTCTAATATTTCAATTCTTTATTTACGCAGCATCCTGTTTCACATACTCCAACAAAAAAGGCTGTACCTACAAATCGCAGAGCATCTTTACCATTGCCAACAAGAACTGCAATTCAAGAATCGCTTTGCAGGCCTAGTACTGGTATTCTTCATCGTGTTAAATCTCCAGATGTTTCTGTTAATGAGCCTCGAATTGACAGGATAGCTGAATTCCAATTAGCATCATATGAAGACCCTTTCTTTCCCATCCCTAGAACTTCACCAACCTCTGCACAAGGCTCTTCTGGCTCACCACAATATGTTGACCGTTCTATCACAAAAGACAAATGTACAGTTCAGATATGTGATAGAGCCTCTGCTCCCAATTTCACTGAAGCATGGCAGGGAATTCAACACAGCATGTTTCAGGTGAATGAAGCGGATGGAAGCAACTCATCCGATCAAAATGCAACAGCAGGAGCTTCCAGCCGGACCTCATCAGACACACGATGCCGTCGGTTCGACACCTCATCATACCAGCAACGTGCTGAGGCTTTGGAAGGATTGCTTGAATTTAGTGCAAGATTGCTACAACAAGAAAGGTATGATGAGCTCTGTGTACTACTAAAGCCATTTGGACCTGGCAAAGTTTCACCTAGGGAGACTGCAATCTGGTTGACTAAGAGTTTCAAGGAAAATACTCTCAAGCAAGAAGATTGATTAACACCAACAATCTGCAGCCACTTATGTACCATATATGGAGCGGTAACAATCTTTAGAGTTCTGAGTGTATTTGTTTTTTTTCGTCGATCATCAAGGCACTAGGAACTTAAGCAAATGCTAATCCTTAGGTTGTAGTGGATTTTCATGCCCCTTCCATATATCTCAGTCTCAGGTCTCCTGATTTTGATTAACATGGATAATGTTGTATAATAGGTGATGGATACAAACTCTTAGTTTCTCAAATTGAGGGTAACTATGGCTCAAATGCAGTCACTAGACTTGTATTATAATCTTTTATCTTCATGAACATTTCTTTCTATGAATTTTTGGAACTCTTCCTCTCCCGTTTTCTTCACCTAGCCCATTTTGATCATGAGCCTGTAGATTCCCAGGTCCTAAATTTTGTTATTTTTGTATTTTATGTAAGTTTGAACTTGAATGCTAGAGTTTATTTTACATTCAACGTCCATGGCCTCCACTCAATGGGTTGTTTACAGTCTTATTTCAATCTGTTTGAAACATGCAATTATTAAGAAATTACCCGTTTTGTAATTAGCTTTTATCTCAAATTACTTTGAAGTCCTCCTTTTAAACTACACCATAAGTTTGAGCTAATTTTTTTATTGATAGTAAAAACTAAAAACTAAAATTTCTACACTTATAACTTGTTTATACAACTCTGATATGACAATTTATGATTAGTCAGTTCACAAAAGGTTTCATTTGTTCAAATGCGAACTACCACATCAGGGTTGTATAAAAAATTTGTAAGCGTAGTTTTGTTGTTAGTCAAAATTGTTAATTAACATGATAGTGCCAACTCTACTATCACATTAGAAATAGTTTTTTTGTAGAGACGAATAACCATTCCTAATGATTGCTCTTTGACTAAACACAAAAGGTCATTCTTTAGAGACGAACCACTGTTCATTCATAAGGAATGATTGTTCCTTTATAAAAAACAATCGTTTCATTCATAAAGAATGGTTGTTCCTTTGTAAGGAACAACTATTCCATTTACAATGAACGGTTGTACCTTTGTAAGAAACAATAATTCCTTATAAAGGAATGGTCATTCGTCTTTAAAAAACGACCGTTCATGTTTAGTCAAAGTTACTTAGTGCCTTGGGTGTAGTGGGTGTTAACATGACAGTTGTTAACTAAAGAGAATGTTATGAGATTAGATAATGGACATAGTATTGCTCTACTGATAGAGATATATGGGCTAAATGCCTAGTCAATAACAAAACAAACTTCGATCCATTAAAAAAATATTGATTCTATGGCCAGGCTAATCACTTTAATAAACTATTCTTGAGAAGGGAAATCTATATTTTTCTTGATGTGGACAAGATTCAATTTTAATAGATCAACCCACGTCTACACTAATATGAAAAGAAGAATTGAGAAGACTTTTCTGCTTCGAAGGAAAAATAAGGGACTAAATTGAGCAACTGGGAAAGTTTGCTTGCCTTTAGTAATATATATTAACAGAAGAAAATGATCTTTTAACTTAAAAAGAAGAAAACAAAGGGACTAATGGAGCAGTTGGGAAAACTCCAACAAGGTAGAGGAATCTTTGTTCAGAAAGTGGCAAGTGGCTCAATAAAGAGAACTTTTGCAGGCCTAGACCAATATATATTTGCCCAATACCACAATCTACTTGACAGAAAAGGTCAGAAAACAGAAGAAGAAGAGTATAAAATATAGTATTGAGACATGCATGCATGAGTCAACATGACAGAAGTTTTGTATATATTAGACATGACCAATTTCCATGCACAATCAGTTCTAAGTAATTAGCTGGTAAAGATACAATTTTAGAGATGGGAAAGGCAAGCAAATGGATGATAAACTTCTTGTTAGGAAGAAAGGATCAGGAGAAAGACAAAAAGAAAGATGTTGTTTTTCTTAAAGAAAGTGTGCTACCAAGTCCAACACCCCCAAGTATGAAGAGGAGATGGAGCTTTGGAAGATCATCAAGCAAAGAGAAATCTCATAAGAGTTCCAAATCCCTTGACTTGATCACCACAAGCTCAGTTGTAAGACAAGCCATATCGGAGTTGCAGAATCAGCAGATCAATAACAATTTGGCTTTGGTTGTGGCGCCACCAAAACCTGCAAGAGGTGGAATAATAAGCAAAGCAGTTAAACATGCAGCTGCCACCAAAATTCAAGCTGCTTATCGTTCTTATTTGGTACTAATCTGAACTTGTATATATTTCTATGAATGCGTAATAAATAAGTGAAGTGTTAATATATGAATGGTTTGAAATGTTTTGCAGGCAAGGAAAGCATTGTGTGCTTTGAGAGGACTGGTGAAGTTGCAAGCACTGGTAAGGGGTCACATAGTGAGGAAGAAAACAAGTGCTGCTCTTCGAGGCATGCATGCGTTGATGTCGATTCAAGTTAGAGCTCGGTTTCAGAGGCTGCAGATGGCTGAGGAATCTCAGCTTGTTGTTAAAAGCCAATCTTTAAGACACAGCACACATACCCCTCAAGACATTGGAATTGGATTCACAAGAGCACACAAAGTAAGCCTTGCTATTTCTTTCCCATCCTGCATATTTTCCTTAGAATGTTAATTTTCCAATCACCCAAACATGGGGTATATATAAACAATGGAGTTTAAAAAATGACAAAAAAGAATACACAGCGACAGTTTTTTGTGTTATGAAAACACTAACAGGGGATTTATGATTTTGACTGTTGCCAGGAAGCAATTGACACAAATATTTATGAAACACATGGGATTTCCAAGAGGAAATATGGCTATTTGAATCATGCACAAATTGGGAGGATAGAGCATGGTGTCACCACATTTTTTTCAGGAGAGCTTTCAATCTCAAAGCGAGAACATCACCAATATGAGGAGATCTCTTTCTCCACAGCACAGAACACTCCCAGACATTATCAAAAACTGCCCAACACTTTCCCGGGAAGAGCCTCTTTCAGCAATCAGCAACCAGAATATTCACATGCTGTGTATAATGAACCAAATTACATGTCCAAGACAGAATCTTCCAGGGCCAAGGCTAGGTCACATAGTGAACCAAAACAGCGTCCCAAATGGAGCATGAAACCGAAAACAACCAAACGAACAGCTTCGCTGGATCGAACCAATGTCCTGGCAGACCCTCAAACACAACGGTCTTCTCCATGTTCAACCAATGTCTTGGCAGACCCTCAAACACAACGGTCTTCTCCATGTTCAACTACGGTTGTTCACGAAAACCAGGATCCTTGGTTCATCAAGCTTTATAGATCAAAGAGGATCATCAGGGACAGTGAGTCTGATGCCAACAGCACAGCAACCAGTCGTTCCAAATACTGCAACTCTCTGATGCCATATGAGGCAAGTTATGAAAGAGACTTACTTCACTGGCTATAGACAGCTTTTGTTGAATCTTTGGTTGCCTGATGTGTTGATTTATTTGACTGCTGCCCCATTTGACCCTGTACTAATAAATCATGGCTTGCTACCTTGACACTGCTCGGACGATTTTAGGAAGAGAGAACAGACGATATACATGACAACTGATTCAAGTTTCAATAAAAGAACAAGTTGAGAAATTTAGATGGTATTGTGGAAATAAACAGGAGAGTAGAGATCAATGGTTTCTAACTCATAAATCAAATGTCAAAAGTATTTACACCATGACCAACATCTTATAATAAACTTCAGTGCTAGCATAAGAGTAAATCTGTTTTCAGGAAGCAGAACAGCTGCAGTTATGGAGGAGTTGATGAATTTCAGGAGGAAAAAAAAAATCAAATGCATAAATATAAAGATTATTAATGAAACAAGTTCCAAATATTCGCCTTGTTATATATATAAATATGTATGTATACACACACACACACAGGGTAGTTCAAGAGAACAATATGTAGCAACAAAAGGACGAATACAAAATTGTATGTAAGAGGACACAATCTTCTTTGTATTGCCATTTGTATATCTGGGACTCCATGTATCTCTAGCATATACCAATAACAGTGAGTTCAGTAATGTATAATCTCCATGCCACCTGCATGTGTACGGAATTCCATAAACAAGAAAACATATGTTACATGCATGTCTCATGGAATTGGTAACAACTAAACTTCATCGACTCCAATTTCCTTAAACAGGAGAATGTACAAAGTCAAATAACCAATATATGGCTTTGTCAATTGACTGATGTGGAAAAAAAAAAGCATAATCTTTCAAATTTGTGTTACTGAACCAAATGGTAATGCATTTAAAACTTTACTGGGCATCAAGTTAGGAAACTTGGGGAGAAAAAAACCCATAAACTTCATCAACAAGGTAAAATTACTAATACGTAGAACAAGACTCTACCTAATTTCCTCGCACTTCATTCTTGATTCTCATGGATTACAATCTTTCTAGATAACACATCTGACTGTCCCAAATAACTAAATCTCTACAAGAGGTGATGTGCTCACTGATTTAATGTTTTGTGGAATGCAACCTGAAAAAGACAGGAAAGTGGAAGTTAGGCAAACAGAAGGAATGGTTTAGTTGAAATGTTTGATTTGAAGATTAATGTCATAAAGACAGACAAAAGGAAATGAAATCACATACAGATGTTGATGTTTTCAGAAGCTCTCTTATGGCCATTGTGGCATAACATGAAGTCGGAAGAGTAAACCCCAACTTGAGTGCCATCTGGACTTCCTGAGAATCAGACCCATGAAGCGATTTGAATTGTGGCACTCTTAACTCTCTGCCGCAATCTGCTTCATTATCGTCTGTTGAAAGCTTTATTACATTTTCTAAGCTTTCAAATTGTTCTATGCAATCAGAGGGATCCTTTTTCTCATCTCCACCGACCAGTTCCTCTTCTTTTATTATGCTCAGAGGTTTAGCTTTGGCAATTTTGTCCAAATCTGTCTCAGCCAATGGTTTACTGGCATCAGTGTACTTGAGTAACTCCCTGAGACAACAGAAATTACATCCAGTAATTTTGCAGTAAAGAAAAATCAAGAGAAGAAAATGATAACAATAATAATGTGAGAACACAAAAAATGATACCATTCAAAATCCAACAGCTTTTGAAACACCTGCCGGTAACTTCCAGTCATACTGGTTATTGAGAATTCCCTTATAAAATAGGCATACATACAATTTCAATTAGAAATTTTTACATAAAAAAAGACATGACCAAGAAAAGAGAGAAAGACAGGGTTAAGGGACATGTATTGCAACATACTTGACATTATGAACAATCTCTGTCAAGTTGATCCCATCCTGCTCAATGCAAATAAACAATAACTAACACTAGAAAAGAAGGAAAAAGAAGAATAAAAGAAAGCTTTTAGGTAATGTAGGTGAATTAAGAAAAGTAAACCCTCCAAACAAAAATATATTGTTTCTGTCAAGCAAATCAATGTAGGCACATCCATTTATGCATCTGATTGTGTTTGTCTCCAGAAATCTGTTTCAGCAGAATGCAGATAGGCAGCCTCACAACTGAATTTCTAGGGTTTATAGTGAAATTATACTTATATTTAATTATATCCTGTTGTAATCCTCCATTTCAATGAGACCATAATTAGCAGTTTTTCCTTGGGACAAGTCACCATCGCCCCATGGTTTTGTCCCTAAACCTAACCTCATTTAGGCATGAATATGCATGCTAGCTTTTAGGCCTTCTCTCTCACTGAGCTGTGTGCATACACTAATCAACCAAGATAAAAGAAAGGGAAATAGAAAGTATAAAAGAACAGGCACCATAAAGGCCTCAGCAGCATCTAGAATACACCATACCTTCTTTGCCAGACGATGATAAACTTCAGCAACTTCATTTGTGGGATAAATCACTCGGGAACTGCCAAACAAGAAAACAATTGTGTTGGATAAGAAAGAAATATTTTTTCACAACTGAAACATGCAAAATGAAGAACATAATTTACGTCTCCCCTTACCCAGGCATAGGAAGAATGACATCATCAATAGTATATTTTCCAGTATGGATATCTTCTGCAGTTGCAGTCTGAAACATCAAAAGAAGCTATCATTCTTAAATTAAAGAAATTAGGCGAACATTTACATGTTAGATGACAGAAACATTACTATACCATCAATTCTAAGCAGAAGTTAAATGTAAACGAAGTATTTCCTTCTACATTCATGTCATAAGATTCCACTGCTAACATAACTTGGTAAACTAGATTTTTGTCATATCAAGCTAACTCTCGTCCATTTGTTAAGCTACAAGGATTTTGTCATGCTAACATGACATAAAAATAAAATAGGCATGAAATGACACTGCATCATGCCCTTAATAGATCATCACAAATTAGACCAAATATATGGAATCTAGTTCATGATTTTTACGTAGGAAAATTCCACAGTAATAATTCATATAAATAAATCCGGACGCCTCCAAAATTCTCACTAACTGATTACAGGTTTTTGATAGGGACTAATTAATTCTTTATTAATGAATGAATCACCAACAGTGCAGCAAATAATGGAACTATTTTCCTTTATACTTTTATTCAAATAAATTACAATAAAGAGAGACATGTCCTATTCTCTTCTACATAGTTTCTCACATCTGAAAGAATATCTTCAAGGACATCATACATAAAAGGCAGGTCAAACAGCAGAATGCTACAAGAGATGATAATAAAAATAGGTTGCTGATCAGATCTGTGCAGATGCTCCCAAAGAACAACCTATATTGAATTTTTTCTTCTACTTGGTCTACGTACACCCTATGAGATTGGTTCTACATCAGAAATAGCAAAAAATTTAAGCAAGCAGTATGATATAAACCTGACCTTAACAAGATTATTCCTTCCTACAGGAAGTTCTGTAGCTGAGACCTCATCTAATTGACCACAATCATCTATGTCATTACAATTCTCAGCCTCACATTCAGAATTAACACATGTCAGCTCCTCAGTATTATCTGCTTTAGAATATACTAAGTCTCCCACCACAACTTGCTCAGTTCCTGTATAGTAATAACATAACAGAATTCAGATGTCACTTCCAAATGACACAATAAAGCTTTGATAATAACCATTACAACAGCGGATGTAGTTATGTGCACAGAATGCTAGAGGAATTTAGATTTGTAAAAACAAAATAAGCATACCGTATTTTTCCACTCTCATACTTGCTGCATGGTTCCACAAGTAGCTTTGGTAACTATGTACATACCTAAACAATAGAGCAGCAACAATATTGTTAACTGAAATTTATAGAAAGATATCTCCTTTTGCCTCTTGTTTGATTGCATGCAAACATGTATATATTGCTGTAAGTTCTAATGATTGCCCCACAACACTGTGCTATAAGGTATTTAGTAACTCATTTGCAGGCATAAGTTGCATATATGCAAAGTTAGCCATGGTTTTAATGTGATGTAGCAAAGAAATAACTCAAAGATACATTATAGTGTTTCAGGGTAGACCAGCTTCACTAATATTTCTTTTTTTTTTTTTTTTTTTTTTTTCTGAGGCAAGCTTTTTCACAGATCAAGTGTATGAAATTATGTACTCATATATACTGAGTAATTCACTCACATCATTCTCAACGTCCTAGGTATAGCCTTCAGGGCCTGCAAGAAATTCCCAGGACATTTCTTCAAACACTGCAGCTGCATAAGAATAAAAAGGGAAAAGGATGATGTTAATCAAAGCACACAAGTATTAACTTAATCTTCAGTAGTAACAGAAAATATGAAGATCAGAACTGAGACAAGGACGTGATCAACAGAAACTGCAATAAAGGTGGCAAATAAAGAGTAAAACACCAAGTTTCTGAAAGACATCGAAAATTAAGAAAGTAATTCTCACAAGATCTTATGCAAGCAATACATATTAGAACTTAGCAGACACCCAAACAAGATTATGCAAAAGCAACCAGAATCAAAAACTTACAATAGCCCTTTCAGCAACCAAATGGCGAGGTAGTTTTCTTAGAGTCCCGTCAATGTCATCAGTTTCCTTATAATATTCTCTTGCCTTGCTTATCTCATTTCTTTGTAATTAAAAATTATAAGTCAAGAAAAACAGCAAATGTTTTTCAAATGACAATGAATTCAAGCATATGAAACATCCTCCTAGCAAGATTCAAAAACAATAAAAAGGATATCCCCTTCCCTTGGGTCAAGAATCATGCTTACGGCAGCTTTCCACTCTCCTCGAAGTAATGTGGCTCCAACAAGTTGAGTTGGCACAGAACCACTACCAAAACGCTGAGAAAAATTATACACTGTGGATAAGCAGAGTTTAAAAAGCCATAATTCAATTTAACACAAATATGCACACATCACATGATAAGCTCCCTCACATATATAATATTTTCAACACAAAAAATAAAATTAAATTAAAAAAAATTGTTATAGAGGTTATGACCAAATGGAAGTGGTTCAAATGAAGAAAGTATTAATCAAAAGGAAGTAAAACATAATGAGAAAGAGAGAGATAGATGATCAAGTACTTGCAAACCAAAGTAGTTGATGAACCCAAGCCTTCCTAATGAGTTTGCAGATGCCTTGATGACATCTTCAGAATTTGCAACAACTCCTCTGAGGAGATAGTACACACCATGAGACATTGGCAAAAAAGGTTAGCCATGATTATAACAAAAGAGAATGTAAAAATGGAATCCATGTTGTACAGAAGAACTCTCACCGTAATGTGACCGTGAATCGATTTCCTTGGAGCTGCCCAAGAAGAAGACCTTCCTTGACATAACTGGAAAATAATGCAGGCAAAACTTATGAATCATCAAAAAATAATTTGTGGTAAAACAAAGATCCCAGGACTCATTGATCTTACCAAAAATCACCAACTTGGATCCCAATCAACCTTTTATTAAGAGCAGCTAATCTACTTGCACGCTGCTTGAAAACAGTTACCTGGAAGTACAAGAACAATCAGTATAAAGTACCAATTTGAGATTCAACTAATATATTACAACATTAACATATTTTTTCCACTAACTAAGATTTACAAAGAGTAGCTAATGTGTATCTCTGGTTCTGAGAATTTAATCACATAAACTCACAAAGTGAATCATTTGCTTCGAGTTGGAGCAAAAAATCCTCTCATCTTAATTAATAGATAAACCTAAGATTCCGAAAAGAAGCAGCAGAAATAGGGCAAAGACCAGAACTACACACCCTTTGTGTTGAGACTGCGCGCTTATCTTTTGTACCTGCAAAACCAAATGATCTTGACTGCCAAACAAAAACATCAGTTAAAAGGATAATTATCCAACAATAATGATGATTAAGGGTGAAAAAGTATTAGTTGCTAGGTGAAAAAAAAAAAATCCAAAAACATGAAGATCAATTATTTAGAGTGGGAAAAAAGAGAATCCAATCATAGAAACCTAATTGATCACCAACAACAAAAGAAGAAATGATTTTCAACTTCAACATCCTTTCACAGTCCCACTAGCGGGCAGACAAATTAGCGATTCTGAAACACAAGTAGAACATACCTGGATGCCAAGCATCTTTCCTATCAGCCCCAAAGCCTCCTGCGTATCCTTGTTCTCTTTGTACAGATGAAACCTGAATGAGAGTGCCTTTCAGATGCTGTTAAAGTATGATAAGAACTTCACTCCATGAAAGATTGCGCAAGGATAATAGAAAACTTTCATGCATAGATAGATATATCCTATCTCTTAATTAACTTTTTTCACTAATTTCTTTAAAGATATAGAGTAATGTTTCCCTGCTACACAAGCAAGCAATGGATAGTCAATAATTAGTCTGGGGGACCAAATAATAGCATTAATAAATCATGCAGGATCCATTTCTTCTATTAGCAAATAATCGAAATCTGTTTCTTCTATATTAGCATAGGTATTGATGAGAAAAGGATAACTTATGAGCTTTGACTCAGCTGAACAGGCAGCATGAGCCACCCTATATACCCACTACCTGAGGAATTTGCCTTGATGCTCAGGCCAATTTTCTGAACCTCTGCTATCGAAAGGGTTATCACCTCTCTCTTTCCGTTTCTTAGAATTTCGACCACTGCCATTATTCCCTCCTGAATTCAATCTCACGCGTATGCATTTTGATGAAGCATCCGGGCCATCAATTGTGTCTGTGACCAGGAATTTGAAGTTCTCCTTAAAGAAATTATGTATTGCCTGACAGATCCAAAAAGTTTAAATTAACTATTTAAGAACAAAGAGACCAAAATAAATTCAGGTTACGTAAGATAAGTGCCTCTCTCTGAAACCAAAGATTGAATCAACCCTGTATCGGATATCTCTTTCAAGACCAAGTCTGAAAGTTTGAAATGGCAGAGAACCACAATAAACTAAACTAAAACCACACCATCCTCAATGCAATACACTAATGCACAAATTTTGATACTTGTAAACTAACCGTTCGATGGGATTTATCTGAATTAGCAGAAAGAACAACAGGCGAAATGCTGTCTTCACTATTGCCAGAAGTAATTTGATTAATCAGAGCCTTCAAACAATCTGCATCAGAATCACCTGCAAGTGATCTGAACGATTCAATTTCAGATGCATAGCTTTTATTCAATTGATCAGATCTCTTCATTTCCTTATGCTCCACCACAGCCTGAATGGACAACAAAACCAACCATCATTCACATAAATAGACAAGCAAACACACATTTATATGTAACATACAACGAACCGATAGGAAAATTAATGTGAAGTTGCTTACCTCTGGAGGTGCATCTAAACAGGTCAAATGAACAACATTTCCATCAGTACCTACTTCATTGACAATAAAATCAGAATACCTACAAATACAAAACCAAAATTAGAAATTATCTAATTATGAGGATAAGTTCCCTTTTTACCTTCAGGGGGTTTGACTTTTTTATAGGTAGAGCTGTCTTGTTTGGAAAACAGAGACCTCCTCTCTAAGGAATTTTCTGATAAAATTTTTTAAACTTCAAGGGAGGCCTCTGATAATTTTAGGAGAAATCTGTGACCATGTTAAGAGTTTTTCGAAATTAATGAGGTAGTCTATATTTTAACCAAATCTCATGGGAGATTAATGAACTTTTCCCTCATCATAATCCACTACAAACTCTTCATTTATAATAAAACCAGCATATAAGGTAGAAATTAGTCATAAAGACACTGCAATTGTTAAAAATGATACGGCAGCCATTGCCGCATATTCTATTTTAATCCATTTAATTTTTATTTCACTCTTTCAAATAAACACACATTAACGCTCATTTCTTTGAATTTTCTTCCCAAACCAAACATATCCAGATGGTAAAATACTAAAAAAATTTAAAATATGACACTATTATAAATGCAGACAGCCAAGTGTGTGCACTACAGAGATGGTGACAACCTTTGTTTGAGGATGCCACGAAAACCAGGGAGGTTGGAGATGAAGCAGAAAATGCCGACGTCAGATTCATCAAGGGTTTTCATTTTTACTGTTGTTAGGGTTTTGTTCAACACTCTGGAGAGAGCGTAGTTGCAGAGCGAGTAGGGTTTTAGAGCTGAGAATGACAACGATACAGGATTTCTCCACATTTCAACGTTGCTAAGAAACGCTCGTTTTGTCAGTTACATTCAGGTAAATTACACATAAACCCCTGTAACACAGCCTATTTCTTTAAGGTGAGTTTAGGCATGGCAATGAGGCGGGTTGGGCAGGGATCTCATTCACCGTCAAAATCACTCCCCACCCCCGCCCCATCCCCGTTACGGAGATGACAGGAATTTCTCTTTCCCGCACCAAAGGGAAATGTTTGAGACTCGTCCTCGCCCCGTTAATTTTACATAAGCATAAATTAATTTGAGCATTACAAAACACAATAGTTAATTCTCGTCTACATGACAAACACTTAAATTTATCGTTTAAACATATGAAATTTTACATGTATATGGGTTAGGGTTTGTTCTTGTTCAATTGTTTAGGGTGAGGGAAATTGGGAAAATATGGGTTTATATATTATATACGGGCCGGAGCAGGGGAAAGACATCACCCACCCCCGCCCCATCCCCGACTATAGGGATTAAAACGCCCCCCACCCCCGCCTTTATCCCCGAAAAAACTGGGGCTTCCTCACCCCATATAGGGCGGGGTAGGACGGGTCCCCGGAATTTCGGAGAACATTGCCATGCCTAGGTGAGTTTAGTTTAGAAAACGTTATATTAATAGAAAGATAGATTACTTTGAGGATTATTGTGAATGTTTAAGAAAATGCGTTTGGTTAATTTGGAATAAATTGGTGGGTATGCTATATAGATTACTGATTTGCCTTTTTATTTTAATATTATTATATTAGATTATTTTTAACTCTCTACATTTAAGAATTTACTAAACACCCTCACAACAAAAGTTTAAAAATTAAAAAAAGCACCCCAACCACCTAACAAGACAGCCGGCCATCGGATGGCAATTGGTAGTCGCTGGAACGGCACATGGCTGATCGAATCTAGTTGCTCATGTGTAGATTTAGCCAAATAGATTTGGCTAAAAACGGCCAAATCGACACACGATCGGCCATATCTAATCGATCATGCCTCATTCCGACCACGTCGGGCCGGTGTTGGTAGCTAGTGAGTAGCAGTGGTCTTGGGTGGCCTACAATTTGTTTTAAATACAAAGATATTATTGTCTAAAAACTTAATTAATTATAGATAAAATTGCAATGGCAGGTTCTTCTAAATTAATTTCAAAATAAGGGCATATTGTCTTAAATTTTTATTAATAAAGGGTAAAATTATAACAAAAATTAGATTATCAAATAATCTCAAAATATCTAAGAAAGAGGTGATAAACAGATTATCACCTATATAACTAACAGTGATTCCCATTGGTATTAGAGGATTACTAAAATCTTATATTACTTGATAACCAAATATGATAATGTAAGTAGTCTAAGATGACATTATTGAAGTAATGTCAAATACCCTCAAGCCAAATGCACCCTTAAGGGAATCCATCAATTAAGCCCCATTTTGCAACAAAATAAAATCATACTTAATTTCAAAAGAAACCTCGACATAATAAATTTAATTAACCCCTTTACTTCCAAAAATATCAAAAGAAACCTTGATATTTCAAATATCATTTAAACCAAGTTCTTACCAAATATGTAAAAAGCACCCATATGGTGTCAAATGTATGAAAGCCCTTAAATTTACAAATACACTAAAAACAACCTCGACATGCAAAATATCAATTAAGTATCCATGCTTTAAAAGAATAAAAAGCACCTTCGATGTGCTAAATATCATTTACACACATGTAATCACCATTGCATATACTTGGCACACCAGGTGCCCCAAGTGGGTATGGATCGGGTCATCGTGGATACGGGTAAAATAGGTATGGGTCCAAAAAGTCCTAGTTCTATATGGGTAATGAAATTTGAACCCGTATGCTACCCGATATGAGTACGGGTGGACCCGCGGGTACCGTTGATGCAACAAATTCTTTTCCTTTCATTTCTCTATTTCCTTATCCAACTTCTCAGCATCAAAAAATTTCCGTCAAGCCCACATCAATCTCTGTGTTTAGGCCTCATTTCATCCATAATTTTCACCACCAATTCATCAAACTCAATAATTCTCAAGCCAACTGCTAGTAAACAAAACATAGGGAAGAACCGTTGCTCTTTTTTATAAAGGAACAATCAATCATACGAACAATATCAGCTGAACACTTCAATTTTCTATGAAAATCACACCACCACAATTTAAACAACTCTTGCAAATTCATTTCAAGTTTTCAACACACAACCAGCTCAATTTCACATCTATTTTGAGGGCTTTGAGTTTCTTCAAAATGGGATCTGACACTTTTTGATCTTTTGGAAACGATGGTGATCTAATAAGCTAGTCTCTTCATGATTAGAAAAATGGCAGATGGCGGTGATCTGATTGACTAGTCTCTTCACAATAAGAAAAGCGGCTAACGATGGTGATCTGATGGATTGGTCTCTTCATGATGGTGATCTTTTGGATCTTTTAGAAGGGCTGTGCGGCTGACAGTGATGCGGGTGTATGGGTGTGGCTAGACTAGCTGTGAGGCTGTTTTGGGTAGACTTGAAAAAGAGTTTATGTGAAAAGAATTAGAAATTTAGAATAAAGGAATTTTTATTAATTTTTTTTTTTTTTAAATGTGGGTAACCTGGTGTACCGCGCAAAAGCGGGGGTCCGAGTAGGGTTCACTATTCACGGGTCCTTAGAGTATACCCGTACCCTATGTATAATTGATAGGTACAGGTCCGCCACCACGGGAATAAACCCATTTTGACAGGTCTACAATGCAAATCCACCCTCTCTTAGACAAATATAATGAAGCCATTTAATTTAAAGATACACAACACGCCAGCGTTAAAAATTTTAAGGAATTAAGGCTTAATTACTTGACAAATCACAAATGCACCCTCAATGTGTTATATAGAGCCCATGTACTTACAAATGTATAAAAGCACTCCTTTTTTTTGTCAAATATCAACTACGCTGGTAATTTAAAATGGTAACAAAAACACCCTCGACAGTTATATATGTTTAGTCTATGCACTTAACAATGTATCAAAGCTCCCTTGAAAAGCAAATATTGTTAGGCCTGTAGTTAAGATATATCAAAACACCTCAATGTGCCAAGCAGTATCGTTTTGTCCCTTTAATTGACGAAATATCAAAGCACTCTTGTTAAATATCAGGTAAGCCCATGTACTTAGCCATATTCAAAAGCACTCTAGAGAAGTCAAATGCTAGTTGAGCTGTTACTTCAAAAAGATTTCAAATACACACTTGACGTGTTAAATATTGATTCAGTCCCCTTACTTGACGAAACATCAAAAGCACCACTGTGTTGTGAATATTAGTAAAAACTAGGGGTGTTCGGTTCCGGGTACCCTACACATTTTGAAGGAACCGGAACCGGAACCGACGGTTCCTTGAAATTTGGAACCAGAATCGGAACCGACGGTTCCGGTTCCTAGGTACCCAGAACCGAACTTGTAACAATGGTTCCGGTCAGGTTTCGGGTACCCTGTAAAATTTTATGACCCCCCAAAAGTTTTTAAAATAGCAAAAAAACCTTTAAAAACTTACAAATATCCCCCACCTGGCACTTGTTAACAAAATAAAATTACAAATTATAAATTCAAAATTATAAACTCATTACTTTGTAAAGATAGATTCTCAAAAGTCAAACAACTTACTTTAAATGTTATGAAATATAAATATAAATGTATTCACATTACTTTTTCTACAAAAGTTTATATAACTCCCCTAATCTTTATTTTATTTATATTAGTCTCGGTTCCTGGTTCCTGGTTCCGGTTCTGGTTCCTAACTATAGGAACCGGAACCGCACAGTAACGGTTCCAAAAATTTGGAACCGAAACCTACCCATTGACGACTGGTTCTGGGTAGGAACCGGAACCAAACCCAGGGTACCCGTCGGTTCCGGTTCCAACCGGTTCTTTTGAACACCCCTAGTAAAACCCGTAATTTACAAGGGTATCAAAAACACCCTCAACTTGCCAAATATTAATTCAGCACCTCTACTTGAAAAAATATCAGAAGCACCCTTTATTTGTCAAATATTATAAGCCCATGTACTTACCATTATATCAAAAGCACCCTTGGTTGATATAAATTGATTCCCTAAATTTATTTAGCCTATTATTTTAAAAATTTATCAAAATCAACGTCCTCGTGCTTCAGCCTCTTCACTTGCCGAAATATCAACCTAATTATTTGAGCCCATCTACTTTCCAATAAATCAAAAGCACTCTTGGTTGATATAAATTGATTCCCTTAGTTTACAAATATTTCCAAAACACCTTCGATACTATAAATATCAATCATTCAAAATTACCCTTGATATGTCAAATATCATACATGCCCATGTACTTACATATACATCAAAAGTACCCTTGTGTAACTATTATTAGATCCATTTTACCGAAAGATTCAAAACACCCTTGATGTTTCAAATATCATATTGACTTTACTACAATAACAAGAAGCTACCTCAATATGTCAAATACTATTTAAGCTCATACAGGAACTAGATTTTTAGATAATCACATAGGGCTTAGGGGTGTAATCGAGCCGAGCTGAGCCAAGTATTTGGTTACTCGAGCTCAGCTCGACTACTATAGTATCGAGCTAAAGCTCGAGTTTGAGTTTAAGCTTGGTCAAGCTTGAGGTGTGGAGCTCGAGCTTGACACTGAAAAAGAGAACCCTATATTAGTTTATTTAAGGTAAGCCCTGTACTTTATCTAGATATCAAATGCACCCTTATGCTGTAAAATCAAATAAAACCTCTATACTTTACTACTAGAGTAACACTAGCCTTATAAAGAGACATACAAATAGATAATCTCTACCCCTTAAAAGAAGGGAAAAAGAGAGAGAAAGAGAGAGAATCATGAATTTTAAGGATATGAATTGTTTCTTTGTATACCTCTTTGTAAGACTAGTGTTACTCTTACTAGTATATAGGTTCGGTACTTGTAGAATCTAATCAAAATTACCATTAGAAAATTAAT